CTCGGGAAAACGTCTCCGAGTGCCGGGACAAACTGGTGTCTGAAGTCGAGTCTTTACTGAGTCTCGGATTGGGGGCGACTAAATCTAGTCCAGTTTAACCCACAGAAGACACAAGTTTGCGCGTTAACCGCTAAAAAGAACCCTTTTGTCGTATCTCCTCAGTTTCAAGGCACTCCTCTTGTAGCCTCAGCCAGTATCGGAATCCTCGGCGTCGACATATCGAGTGACGTGCAGTTTCGTGGTCACTTGGAAGAGAAGGCCAAATTGGCCTCTCAAAAGCTTGGCGTGCTCAGCAGAGCGGCTATTTCATGCCGGCACACCGCCTGCAACTCCCGCACATGGAATACTGTTCCCATCTCTCTGCTGGGGAGCTCATACCAGCTCCTTCCACTTGACCGCATCCAGCGCAGAGTGGCTCGAATCGTCGACGACCGAGTGCAATCCGATCGGCTCGATTCACTGGCACTGCGAAGAGATGTTGCATCTCTTTGCATTTTCTTTCGTATATACCATGGAGAGTGCTCTGAGGAATTGTTCGGATTAATCCCAGCCGCCAAATTTCGTGAACGCACTACGCGGCAAACGTCCCGATACCATCCACAACATCTGGATGCTTGGCGGTCCACCACTGTACGTTTCAAAAGGAGTTTTCTTCCGCGTACAACCTCCCTGTGGAATAGTTTACCACCGGCGATTTTTCCGGACCGATACGACCTGGGGACCTTCAAGAAAAAAGCTTACTCCTTTCTAAAGGACCGGCAACGCACTTGCAATTCCCCTGGTGTTGCGGTTGATCATGGGCGGCGGTAGTCACTTAACATCAGGTGAGCCGCATGCTCGTTTGCCCCCCTCTTCTATAAAAAAATGCTTGTACAGCTACTGTACCTATTAACGCATAAAGCTGTATAATTTGCGCCAATTTTTTACTTATAATAACTATATAAGCGCTTATACAGCCTTTGTACAGCCAGAAAATGCAGCCTCTAATATAAAAAGGAACTTCAATACAGCTCGTATACAGCTTGCATGCTGCTTGGGTAAGGACGAGTGGGCAAAGTGCTTTTCTCAGTGGTTCCATCGGATGCAGCGATGTATTGATGTAAATGGACACTATTTTGAAAAGATATAATAAAATTAATAACTGCTAGTTTGTTAAGTTTTTGAATTTCTAAGAACTTTCAGTGTCATCCTCGTAATGTCTTAAAATACTGAAGATTTTTACAATTTTAAAATAAAAAAAATATTGTGACAAAAGATGGTTATGCTATCCCATATAGAAAACATTGCTAAATATTGTTGCGCGCCTAAGTAGACGTCTGACATTAGCGATATCTAGTGTCGGGTAACAGAGCGAGGAGAGCTTTCCAGAAAATGACAATAATATTTCAACCAACAGCGCCATCTAGTACCGAATTGAAGAAGCCCCCACACTCGAACTTTCTGCGTCTGGTCGGTCGGCGCCCGTATTTACAGGAATATTCTGAATGTTTCGGTGTAAACGTGTATTTAAAGGCGCTGCAAGACGCGATCGAGGCAAGTATTGAATGTGGCGACACAACCGAAGCTTCGGAGCGAAATAAAGCGAATCAGTGTGGTGAATTATTAGTGTTTTATGTTTTAATTAGTGTAAAGTTAATTAAAGTGTCAATTTTGGTAATTCAATCGGCAGTTTTTATTACGAACCCTTAGCTCGTATCAATATATAATGCTGAAGTACACGTCTAATTAAATTTTATGAAATGTGAAAAACAAATAAAATTGAAAGAAATATTTAGGCCACAGAAGTATTGTATTATTTATAATCACTTGATGCAAAGAAGTTAGCAATATACTCAATGGCAATAGCTGTGTGAGCATGGAAAGTGATAAAAATGACTCCATCTTCCTATGGGCTTGAGAACATTACAATAAAGCAAAGGGTGCAAACCGAGAGAGCCAAACAGGTGTCAAAATTAATGTATAATTAATAAATACATTGAATTATATATTTCTGTATTATTGATCTCATTCATACCCTCGTTTTTACCCTTAAATCCCTTTGCCCCAATATCCAAGATATTTAAACTTGTGTGCTTCGATCAACAATACCAACTAGATAACAGGTCAAGTACAAAATCATAGCTAAATACTGTCCGCATGAATATAGCTATGAAAAGACATAAATTAAATAACATTTAATGTGAAATCAACCATAAGTTATAACAAATAAAGTTCTTTTTCCCGTTATTGCCTTGCGAGCTACACTCTCACGTGCAAGAGCTCACGTCTCATGTGCGCTCTTATTTACTGAGATGGATTTCTTGCGCCGACCCGACATCTAGTTGGTATTGTTGATCGAAGCTTGTGTGTAAAAACTTCCCTAAAAATATGCTTACGTCAAAACACAGTTTAAGAATCTAAAACGAAATATAATACTTAAGTACCTATACATATTACATATCGACATATACGCACCTACCTAGACATATAGATATATTTGATTTAGTTCATTGCTTGGCGTTCAGAGGGCGCTGATCACTAACTAAATTTAAAAATGTCAGTTGCCATATTAGTCTATGGCGGCGATGATCCTGACCACCAACAAGCACTGCAGTTTGAGTTAGCTTGCTACATATTTATTTATCTATGGTTTGAGTGAAGCCAAATGTGCAGCGTTGCCGATCTGGGGGGAATTCCCCTTTTTGGGGGGAATTTCACGTATGTGAGGGGCAAAAAAGGGTTATAAGAATAAAAGGGGAATTTAATACTCCAAATGCAATAAATATATAATTCATACTTGTATGTACATCTAATAAGGCTGGATGGGCTATGATTCTTTTGCCTGTCCCCTAAGTTGATAAAAAGAAACTAAAAAATAATGTCTATGGCTAGACTTGTAGGCTGCGTCCTGCATCTCTACGTGTTGGTTAGTTTTGTTGCACAGAGATGGCACTGTGGAACAGAGTCAGTCAGTCAGAGTAAATATTTAAAATATTGTTCTGTGGTCACTGGTCAGAGTTTTTACTTTTCTTGTAAAGAGTTTTGCTAAGTTACGATGGATAAATTCATCAGTAAACTAACCAAAAGATCTCGAGAAAAGGTATATATTTACTCACTATTATAAAATTATTTCGAAATTGATAAGTAGGCATTTCTAGTGTTTTTACTATTGTATACCTAGTTAAATCATTACTACAATACGAGACTTTTTGGGCATTTCATAGAATTAATAAGTTTAAACTACATGTATTTACTAATTCCTTGGGCTATTAACGTAGTGTTCTATCCTCTTTGGGGCTATTCACATTCCTAACCTCTAAATACCTAAATAGGTAGTTCGAGTTTTTATTTATTTATTTTTTTGCTTTTTTTCTCTTCATTTTGGCATCACGCTACTTGCGTAGGTATTTGTCACAGAGATATTTTATAATTTTAACGTAGCGAAAAGCGGAGAAACGTTTTTGTATTGTTTTTTTGCTTTCGATGTTTTTTGATAATCAGTGTTGCAACAGTATAACTATTTTCCCTATTGTCGGGTGTTTCTGAAAGCCTAAACGCAATATTTTGTGCATATCAAGACTAACGATATTTTAAATTATATCCATTTATAGGAGATGGCCAGTGCCACAGATGACGGAAATTCACCAAGTACTTCCAGTTCTGTTCAAGAAGTGGCAAACGACTCTGAGCAAATTCCTTCTACATCTGTACAGATGACATCAAGTCGTGAAGAACCTATCGAAAAAGAAACGATTTAATAAATTTCTAGATTCTTGGACTACTCGGCATGAATTCAAGGGATGGTTAACGAAACACAATGAAATTAGAGATGGTCACGAACTAGCATTTTGCAGAATTTTCAATATGACTGTAATCGCACACAAAAGTGACTTAATACGCCACCTGAATTCAAAAAAACATCTTCGAATTTCCAAACAAGTATCGGGATCAAAAAAAATTGACGATTTAGTGCGGGAATCACCTGTAGACATTAAAGTACATCGTGCAGAATTAAAGCTTTATGCAATGCTCGCTACAAATAACTTACCGTTCTCGTTGATGGACACTGTTATCCCTTTGGCTAAAGACGTGTTCACAGACTCTGAGATCATAAGCAAATTGACAGTACGACGAACTAAAGCCTCTTATTGTATAAAAAATGCTTTAGGCAACAATTTGGCTAATATTGTGTTTGATGCACTTACGAGTTCCTGGCGCTTTCTTCTCCATAATTATGGATGAAACTACAGACTGTAGTACTATTAAACAGCTTGCGTTCACAGTTATTTATTTTAATGTTGAAAGCAACAAAGTTGAGACCCATTTTTTTGATATGATAGAGGTCAAATCCGGAGATGCCATATCTTTATTGAAGTATTTAACAAATGTGATAGAATTAAAAGAAATACCACTATCGAATCTCATAGGCTTCTGTTCAGATACTACGAACGTAATAATTGGAGAGCACAACTCAGTGTTTTCTCATTTGATAGCCGCATTACCTAGCGTAGCGTGCATCAAATGTTCCTGCCACTTAATACATTTAGCAGCATCTAAAGCTTGCTTAAAACTCCCACGATCTGTCGAAGATCTTATAAGAAACTTGGGGTCGCACTTCAGCCGCAGCTCTTTTAGACAAGAAAAATTCGCAGAGTTTCAAGCTTTTTTTCAATGTGATTTACACAAAATTTTAACGTAGCTACAACACGCTGGCTGTCTGTGAAAAACTGCGTAGATCGTGTGTTACAACAGTATACTCCCCTGAGAGAATATTTGAGACTAGCTGTTTTCGAGGATCCCTCTAAAACAACCGAAGAAATGGTGGCTACAATGGATAATGAGTTCACGGTTATTTATTTAGAATTCATGTCTTATACGTTAGGTTTGCTGGCTCAATTCAATTTATTGTTTCAGTCAGAAACACCACTGCTATATAAAATGAAATCTTCAGTCGAAAATCTGTTGAAAACTGTGTGTAGCAATTATATCACATTTTCTTATGTAAGTCTTGTACTGATATAATGAAAATTGAGTTTGATGACGAATCCAAATATGACAGATTGGACAGAGTGTATCTAGGTGTATTAGCTACCGAAAGCTTACAAAAGTTAAAAAATAACTCACAGGTTCCTAAAACTGATGTCAATATGTTTTTGATAACTTGTCGCAGCTTTTATGTGGAGTTGGCTAAACAAATCCTAAAGAGGTTTGACTTTAAAGACAGTCTTTTTAATTTTATTGACTTGGTAAATCCTTCTGTTGCTCAAAGTTTCACTTTCAAATCTTTGAAGCCTATCTTTGTAAGATTTCCAGTATTGTACGATTATTACAACATGCAAGAAGTTGACGATGAATGGCGAGAATATGCTCTACTTGATCATGAAAGCTACGAATTGCATCCTTCAGATGATGCTGAGGAGTATTGGCGTAAAGTTTTCCACCTAAAAAACGCCCTCGGTCAGTTTGTTTCCAAATTTAAGGTTTTCGCACATTATAACAACTCACCGGCGACTCGACTCTATGCTAGACATTGAAATTTAAGCCCTGTATCATATGTTCAAGGTTCAATTTCAAAAAATGATTATAAAGTAGTGTACAACGAGTGGCCTACGCATCGTACACTAGAGGTCAACCCCGACACGTTTGTCACGCAATGACCATACGTCGTCCACGCAACGACCAAACGTTGTCCACGTAACGACTATGCGTTTGCGACTGACGCGTGACGGGCAACCATTTGCCAGCCCACCCGTCCGCCCCGTGCCTTCCCCCCGCCCGCCATCATTCACTATAGAATCGAAGGACGGAGTGCACGTTGGCGGTACACGGTGATAATTTTTCGAAAATCATGCTGAAAGAAAAGTTGATAGAAGAAGTGCGAAAATATCCGCTACTATACGACCTTCGTGATCCGAAATATAGTGACGTACATAAGAAGGAAAAGGCATGGAATGAAATCGCTATTGTATTGTCGCAACCAGGTAAGAATTTTTTTTTTTGAGTTATTGATTTTGCCATAATCTACAGAAATTCAGCTATCGAACAAATAAATATGTGTGATTCTAATAGATATTAATAATAATGTTAAAACTTATAAGTCATTTCATTAAAGTACATTGTTGAGAAAATTTAATTCAACCTGTTACATCCAAAAAGTAGGTATGTTATTGTACAGTTAACAGTACCTACGATTTTCTACTTGGACACTCGAAAAATCTTGGTTTATCGTAAAAATTAGTTTTTTCAAATACAGTAATATAAAATCCCAGAATTTACTGATATAAAATATTAAATCTACGTCATATATATTTTTTTTTTAGTTTGGGTTTCTGTATGTTATAATAAAGTGCCTTACGTTTATTTAATATAGGTAATCAGTAATAAAATCCCAGCTTAGTATAGAAACTTGTTTAATATTCTTAATAAGCCAATAATATTATAACCAACTTCTTACGATTATTACATATTAATTATACATGATCTATATTAAATGCTGCCACGGAACTCGTCCTTCGGGAGATTGAAAATAAGTTGCAAACATATCACGAGTTTCAAAAGCAGATGCCGAAGATTCACTTATATCTTCTGGAATTGTACTTAGATTACTTAGTAATCTCTGTTCATCATCATTATTGGCCGAACTCTGCCTTGTGTTGACTTCATCATCGGATGTTATATTATAACACCGCATGACGTTGTGTAAAATACACGTCGCAAAGACCACAATATCAACATATTTTGGGTGTAAATGCAAATTCTTATTATAAATTCCAAATTTTTGATATAAGATGCCGAACGCGTTTTCAACTACTCTGCGAGCTCGCGATAAGCGATTATTGTATATTCTTTCCTTTTCTGAAATGCCACTTGAACGTGGATATGGTCGCAATAAATTCCTTTTTTAAAGGAAACGCTTCGTCGGCTACAAAAACATGTGGCATTATTATTTCAGTACCAGGTAATGGTGTGTCAGTTGGAATATTAAATGTATTCATTTCAATCGCTCTTCCTAATCTTGACGATGCCAAAATTCCGCCATCACTATTCTTGCCATAGGCCCCTATATCGACAGCTATAAATCTGTATTTATCATCGACGACAGCCATGAGGACGATAGAGAAGTGTTTTTTTATAATTAAAAAATAGCGAGCCGCTGCTAGGAGGAGCAATTATGTTTACATGTTTGCCGTCGATGGCACCTATACAGTTTGGAAAATTCCATTTTTTATTGAAACCATCTGCGATTCTTTTCCAGTCTTCGGTAGTAGGTGTGGGCATGAACTTCCCCTTCATTGTATTTATAATCGCATTGCACACATCTTTTAATATCGACCGGATGGTACTTTCGCCTAACCGAAAGCTTGAACTCATAGTCCTAAATGAACAGCCACTAATCAAGTACCTGAAACAACCAATTTTTCTTTATATTTATATTATTTTGTTACAGCGTCAGAATGTAAGAAGATATGGCAAAACTTAAGGGAATATCATAGAAGAGCCATTAAAAAAGAAAGCAACTAAAAGTGGTCAGAGTGCTAATACTAATAAAAAATGGCAATATGAAACTGAAATGTCTTTTTTATTACCACATTATAAAGAACGGTCTACAGTGACGTCAGTGGACAACACAGATGATGGTGATGATGAAAATAGCTTATCTGCTGCGGAAATTCTTGCCAATGTGACTAATAATGAAGAATCTCAAGACTCGTCAATTATCTCGGAGCGTCCTGAATCTTCGGTGTCTATGTACGATTCATCTAGATCAGTGTTTCCTGACATTCCAAAAACGACAAAACGAAAGAAATTGCAAGAAACAAGTGCATCGGCGGTTTTAATGGAATATTTATTAAAAAAAAAACGATGAAGATGGAAAGCAGAATGACGAAATGGATAAATTTTTTTTAAGTATTTCTAGCACAGTAAAAAAATTATCTACCTATAATCAAGCACTTTTAAAGTCAAGAATTTTTAATTTAGTTTCGGAAGCTGAAATACAAGAACTGCAAAATAATCGAAACTGTTACTATGATGATTTTTTTTGCACCAGGAACTTCTGGCTACACAACTCAAAACCTAAATGCAGGTACTACCGGTAGTAGCACCGCTAGCACCCAACAGCAAAATACAACGCCTATGGAAGAATCGAGGGTTGATGGTTCTTCTTAACACAATTAAAGTAAAATTGCTTTGCTTTGATTTATCCTTTAACTTGATATATAAATAAATACATATAAATTATAAAAAAGTTTCTTATTGCTTACCTTAATGTCACTGCCAGCTTTTCTTCCGGTGATACAGCTTCTCTAAATCGCGTGTTTCTTTTGTAGATGTCGTCCTCAATAATATTAAGTATATAATAAAACAAGTATCTCGGCATACGGAAATAGATATAGAATTTTTCTTCGTCATCTAGCAGACGTTTCCGGATATTCCAATATTCCCCTTCTGATTTCCTTTGTCGCAACAAATCATGTACCCAATATCTTCTTTTCCTGCTGTTTCGTTCATTTTCATTATCAAATATAATAGCTATAATCGCCAGTTCACTGAATGTAAAGTTCGACATTTCATAAGCAACACGACTTCTTTGGACAAAATTTAACCGAAAACTGAGGTTAGACGAGTTGTCTGTTGAATAACCCACTCGTTGGCACCGCGTTGGCCACTCCTTGACACCGCGTTGTCCACTAGTGACCATTGGGTGGATCAACTAGTTGACTACTCATCGAGAGTGTGAGTAGAGTTGCTGCCGCGTTGGCGTGGAGTTGTTATAATGTGCGAAGACCTTTAAAAGGCATTTTAAATGCATTGTTAGTTTTACCTTTCTCGAATGCATCCGTGGAACGTGTATTTAGTTCTCTCAAAAATATTAAAAATGATCATAGAAATAAACTAAAAACAAGCACGATAGTTGCCCTAATGCAAACTAAAGACCAAATAAAAGATTGTGTAAAATTTGAGCCAACAATAAATGTGCTCAAAGCGAACCTATACAAAAAGTGATGTATTTATTTTAGTTTTTGGAATAAAGTTTTCAGTAGTAAAACATTTTTATTCTGTTTTTCCTACATCATGAACTTCGAGGGGAATTTTGCTATAAAAAGAGGAATTTTTCAACATGACGCGGGGAATTTACAAAACTAACTGTGGCAACACAGCAAATGAGACATAAGCCTTTTCTAAATCCATAAATGCGAAAAAATTGGCTATTGTACAAAAACTTCTCCACAGTCATTCGCATGGAAACAGTGATCTGCACATCCCATTCCCTATTTAATCCAGCCTGCAAATTTTTACATCAGTTCCTTTTATAACTCTTTCAATCAATACTTTAGCATACAATAAGGGGTGTCCATTAATTACGTGAGGCGATTTTTCTACCATCCTCTGGTTCGACCTCTTCAAACCCAAATCTCACATGAGATTTTTCAAAATGTGTATTTTTGGTGTAATTACGTCAATCTGTACTTGATTGCGTTGGTTTATTAAACAAAAACATAGTTGCTCAATTGTTTTTACATAATTTGTGAAGTTTATATTTATCATGGTTAAACACATGATAAATATTATTGTGTTAAGCCATATTTTACTTAATTTAATCCAATTTTGTCAATATTATACTATTTCTTACAGAAAAAAATTATGTGATATTTGCTGAGACTCTCCCTCTCCTCCACGTGAAATTCTGTGAAAAGCGGCTCGGCCTTCTCCTCCTAAACACCTCACATAATTATAATTAAGTAGTATTTTTTTTTTAAAAACTGTAAATGCTGTTAACATTGTGAGGTTATAATCTTAACAGATTCCATGTCCACGAAATAAACACAATAGTTAAAACATCCATTTTGATTATCCATATATGATTTACAGGAAAGGGAAATAGTTTAAAGCAACATAAAATAATAACAATACAGTTTAACTAGTGCCATAAATACATTGACAGTATCAATAGTTAACTAAAAGAATGTAGCTAATTATTAGATAGTACTAACATTACTTAAACTTTGAAAAACAATGCAATTTTAATAAAGAATATTTTCAAGATATTTATAGGATATATAATAAATAAATTTCAATCTATTTTTATAGAAAAACTTGCTCCACAAGAACACCCAACATCTGCATTAGGATTTTGCACTACTCTAAAGGCAGACCTTATGAGTTCTGTATGATAATCAATTGTAGATCCCTTTATATAGTCTAGAGATGTCTCATCAATAACCACTCTTACACCATCCCTTTCAAATATTCTGTAACAAAGGATGAAAAAATCAGTTTTTAGCTACATTTTATTCAAAATTTGTATAAACTTTACTTTTAAGCTTAACTTCCAAAAATTGAGAAGGTTTTAATTTAACATCATTTTTAAAATGTAATATTTGAACTGTATCAAATGACTGTTAGAGAATGAAAAAACTATATAAAATGCCCTACAATAACTTTGAAAGCTCATATGGAATTAAAACAACCAGGGAAGGACCACACTCTCACAGAATATTTCAGCGTAGATGTCTATGGGCCACAGCATCCACTTACCATCAGGTGGATTGTGTGCTTGTTTGTCACCTTTATTCTATTAAAAAAAATTACTCCAGTAAACATCCCACACAGGCTCATTTTCATTTACAATATAGCTAAGGGATCAAGATAACCATTTAATGGTGGTGTAAGAATATCCGTTACCCATATTATCCCATGGGTATGTAAGAGGTGACAGGCAAAATCATCCTTATGAGGCAATCTATGGGGTAGCCCTATGTTTAGCTGTGGACTGGGGACCAAGACATATTGTGCGACTCCAGCAGGTCTGATAGAATGAGAAAATATACACTAGCACTTCACTGGTTAACACTCTGCGCTCTTGTGGTGAATTTGTTTAACCCATTTCATATATATATATACTTGTTTGATTCTATTATTAGACCTTTATTGGAGAATGTCTATCGTTTGGATTCTATTCTATGAGAAACACAATCAACAGTTGGAACATATTTAAAGCAAATTCTTAAAAATTATTAACTATAGAGCTTGTATTCAAATTAAATTCATTTATTAGACAAATTTTCGCTTCTACATCTTTACAAAAGACAGGTACTCATAAATTCCTTATATTTGTGTAAACTATATCATAATTATATTGATGTATTAAACTCATTAATCTAAAATCCTAACGCATTCCAAGTGGTTTGCATATTTGTGAGAAATACTTAGCTAAAACCATCTGAGCTACCACGGCTCAGATGGTTAACGCTCGCTGTAAATATAACAGAATGCGAGTAACCCGGGTTCGATCCCCGCCGGCACCAATGAAATTGTTAATTGCAATTTTAAGTGCTGATTTACCACGTGCTCGGCGGTGAAGGAAAACATCGTGAGGAAACCTGTATGTCTAAAGAATAAGAAAAAAAATTATTTTGAAGACATGTGAACTTCGCCAACACGCATTAGGGCAGCGCGGCGAACACTTCCTTGCCCTAAAACCCTCTCAGAAAATGAGGGGAGGCCTGTGCCCAGCAGTGGGACTTATATAGGCTGTAACTTTACTTTTTTTACTTAGATAAACTATTTATGACAAAAATCTGTTGTACTAATGCTGGCCTTCATTCCCCATCAAGAAGCATAGTGCAATGATACAATGATTATTTTAATGATATTGATATTTTAATTGCCTCATATTTGTGCTTTTAAAAATATATAAAGAATAAATTATAAGTGTTACAAATTTAATTTGTGCCAGATTCTTTTATACCGTTTTTTTTTTGTGATAACAACTTTTCTTTTCAACTCTTACTTATTACTTGTAGTAAAACTAGATGTTACCTGCAATTTTGCCCATGTGCAATTTAGGGTTTTAATTTTTTATGCGGAACCCTAATACTGTTTTAAAAACAAAATTAGCCTAAGTTATAGTCAACCAAATGTAAGAAATACATTTTGACAGCTGTCAGACTTATTACACCAAGCATGCCAATCAAAAAAAAGGAACGTAAAATATTTGATTCTTAAAAAAATCGATATTGATTATTTAGAGTTGGTATTCATTTACAGTTTGGTTTGAATAATACCAGAATAAATTAAAAACGGATGATTTAAAACACAAGATTTATCAGTTTCTTTGTATTTGTTGTTACTGCTCATTTCTAGAGGCACAGTTATAAAAATTTAAGATTGAAACTAGATTCAAAATAAATTTATTCAATCACTTTCAGTACAACTAGTAGGGATGTTGTTGTTTATATCAATTATTATTATTTGATTTTCAATAATGCAGTCAAAATTAATGTCTCTTTCAAAGTTATCCATAATCAATTTTTTTGTTTTTTCTACCACTTGCCCAATCATCCTTTGTGACATGGGTACATGCTTCAACAATTTTTTTTATAGCATTGGGTGACAAACGAGTACACAGTTTACCTGATGGTAAGTGGATGCTATGGCCCATAGACATACACATTTATCTTCTATTAAGAATCAAAATGCAAATATGTTATCACCCCTGAGGACTAAGATTGAATGCCTCGATTCCAGTAAAAAGGGTCTTCGGTTCTCTACACTCACCATATGAAACACATCAGCATTACGCTGCTATTTTACGCTGGTATTCTGCCCTGGTTGAGCCGACCCATTCGTGATACAACTATAATATAGATGTAGTGTGGCTCTACAAAAAGTTATTACAGAAGAAACAGTCCAAAAAGTTAAAGCCAAAATTACGCACAGTAAGCTCTCGAAACAGAAACAGAAACTTTTTTATTCAATATAGATTATGAATAATACTTATTGAAAGTCACTTTTTTCATTTACCACTGGTTCGCAAAAATACCTCTGTCCTGGGAAGAACCAGCAAGAAACCCAACGGGACTAGTTTTTTTTAAACAAGAGCTTATAATCATGCATGTTATAATTAACAACACAAAACAAATTAGAAATAGCTTGGTAGCGATCACCCTTCTTATTATTATCATCCATAAATTCCTTAATATTAAAACAACCCTTTTTATACATAGTGTAACAAAGTTTTTGAACTATGTGTACTTACATCAAATTTTGTATATTTTCTGGCATTTTGTTATAAAAGTAGTATACATCGCCTCAAAAATGAATTACTGATTCTGTGGAGTCGAGTAACTGGTATCTAAATGGCGGGATATTGAAATTATGTTTTTTGCCTACAAAAATTTACTTTGACAAAGTGAAAAAAATAAACTTGTTTTATTCATGATTCATGTAATTTAAGGAATTTTGAAAAAAAAATTAAACAAATAATACATTAAAAAAAATGATTCGATTATTATTTAGAATATTTTTACCGATTATTTAATTATTTTGCCTATTATTCGCATAACAATGAATTTAAATCATCCAAACACTATGGTAATATACATAGCGACATGTCATTGAAATGACATCAAGTAAAAAAAGTTAATATTGGTTATTTTTTTTAATAATTTGCTTTGTTTGAAAAATTCAAATTTAAATTAGTGATAAAAACTATACACATTGTAATGAAATATAGATAACCTCATAATTTTTCGGATTTACGTAAAAGGTTATTTTAAATCGCGTGAGTATGCTTGTGCAAAGATATTGCAGAATGATTAATGTGAAACGTCAAAAGGTATTTCTTAGATTTGGTTGACTACAGTCTTAATAACATCAGCTATCTGCCAGTGAAAGTCCCGTCACAGTCAGTAAAGCCATTTCGGAGATTGATATTTAAAAATTGTTTTTTTTTTCTAAGTACTGTATATACTTTCATATGCATTTGTTAAAAAGCTGTTATTATGACTTAATAAAAAAATTGGCCCTTAGCTAACTAAGAAACAAGTTTCTGGTACCTGACAAGTAGCTTAATAAAGATTCAAAAATACTGGACCATGAATGTTAAACTGTTAAACAAATAAAAGCTACATCTTTAGTTAAATTAAATATTATGTTTAGCTGTTACCTGTCGTCATCGGCCACATTATTATCTAGATTAAATTTATATTGAAATCCCGAACATCCCCCACTCTCGACGCTTAATCTTAGAAAATCTGTTTTTCCATCACATAGTTGCTTTAATTTTTCCACACAATTATCACTAAGAATTATAGCATTATGGTTCAAATTTTGTGATGCAAAATATTTTGATATTATGTAACTATTAAAATAATTTGTTCGTATTACATTCAAGGATTTCAAAAACATTTCACTTTTTTCTGTAAAAACAATGGAAGAAATTGTTATGAAATCACAAAAACTTATTAAATCCCATAATATAAGACTTTGTCCACTGTTTTTATTTTATTTAGCTAAATTAGAATCTTAGAATTCTGCAGGTGTAGTCATGACGGTGTCTGTTAAAAATATAGAAATAAATAGAAACAAATATCAGCTGACACTTGACAGACAGTGTTGCAAACGGTTAAACTAGCTAAAGTTGTTCAAAACGACTATAAATCAATAGCACGCTACAGACTATAAACTATAAATTTCTAGCGCGCTATTAAATACGCTATGTTATAGCGCGCTATTTATAAGAAAACGTGTAGAAGGCCGGCAGAGGCCGGTAAGCGCGTAAAGTTTTGCAGCACGTTATATCTCTTAGCACGTTACATTGCATGTCGTTCATTGGATAGATCGTGTGCTATATAAGAACATTATTTCATAATAAGTCGCATTTTAGACTAAAATAAAATAAAGTGGTAAAGAAAAACCAATGCACTCTTTTACATACTTTTCAGGCTTACTACTTTCTTTAATCCTAAAAATATTTTTAAGTCATGTACTTTTTAAAATAGGATTAATTTTATTTTTAGAATCGAAATAAAATTAATTATTTTTTATTATAATTGATGTAAACATTATTATAACCTTAATATAAATTATGAATCAAACAAAGATGTATTTAAAAGTTTATTTATTGTATTTATAAAAGTCAATTATTGACATAAACTATTATATTATACACTTTTGTATCTATATTTTATTTACATTTAAAACATAAGTTAGGCTTCTTTTATCACAACTGTGTCCTTTGATCATTTATAAATATACAGTATATTCTAACTAAACAACGTCTTACATTAAATTAGGTCGCGCGTGATGAATAGCGCGCTACGAGATCAAATTTGCGTCACACGTCCTCTCCCAACAGCGCTGCTGCTAGAACAACTAATTGTCGCTAGATATTAATACTTAATAGCACGAAAGCGCAATAGCGCAATAGCGCCACGGCGACTACTTACATAACACGCGCTATGTGTTATGAAGAGATAGCGCGCTATATTAATATGTCTTTGTATGCTACTAACAATATTATGGACAACAGTCTGAAATAAATCAATTTTATTTATTTTATTTTATTAACCATCAATAAAACTACTTCATGTCTCCGCAGCAGAACTCTTACCTCCATGCTATAGGCGGAGACTCCGCCTATATCATGGAGGTAAGAGTTAACAGTAGAACGATCGCTACGTGCTAAAGCATAGCCCGCCTGTCCTTAAAAATTTGTAGAATTATTAGGGGCGCTGCCATCGAGGAGTAGTAGCTGCGAAGTTAGCTGTTTATGAGTACAAGTAGATGAAGTTAGTTGAATAATGAACAAATTTTCTTCGCGGGATTGGTGAGAAAATTTTCATGGTCCATAAGTTTTTAATTTTTGACAAAAAGAGACATTAAAAAATGGAGAAATATTTCATTGTGTGTGGATGAACTCGTATTAAAGAAGCAATCGAGCGGAACCAGGGCTTCAAAGTCTTTGCCAGAGACCTGTCTGCCAGTAAGAGCCAACTGTCAAAGCTGAAGACTGAGTGTGGCAGCATCGTTTCCGGGACACCTGAGATTTTGAGTGAGATTGAGAGGTTCTATGGGCAGCTGTACACATCATCGTTGGAGCCACTCGCAAGTGTGAGTAACGATCCAAGAGCAAGTCTTACCCGACACTATTCCGATGATATCCCGGACGTCAGTCTGAGCGAGATTAGAATGGCTCTCCAGCACCTTAGAAACGGCAGGGCCCCAGGCGAGGATGGAATTACAGCGGAGCTTCTGAAAGCGGGTGGAACACCGGTACTTGAAGTCCTTCAGAAGCTCTACAATTCCGTCCTCCATGGTGGTACTACTCCGGAGGCGTGGAGCAGAAGTGCGGTGGTCTTGTTCTTTAAGACAGGCGACAACGCTCTCTTGAAGAACTACAGACCGATTTCCCTTCTGAGCCGCGTCTACGTGCTATTTTCGAGAGTGATTACGGATCGTCTCGCACGCAGATTCGACGACTTCCAGCCTCCCGAACAAGCCGGTTTCGGAAAAGGCTTCAGTACCATAGACCATATACATACCCTGCGGCAGATTGTACAGAAGACCGAAGAGTACAATCTGCCACTTTGCCTGGCATATGTGGACTATGAGAAAGCTTTTGATTCTGTTGAAATTAGGGCGGTGCTACAGTCCCTTCAGTGGTGCCAAGTTGACTGTCGGTATATCGAAGTGCTGAAGTGTTTGTACAGTAGGGCTACGATGGCTATCCGAGTACAGAACCAGAGCTCGAAACCTATCCAACTGCAGAGAGGTGTAAGACAGCGTGACGTTATATCCCCGAAACTCTTCACCGCTGCATTGGAAGACGTTTTCAAGCTACTGGACTGGAAAGGATACGGTATTAACATCAATGGCGTGTACATCACTCACCTTCGATTTGCCGACGATATAGTCCTTATGGCAGGATCGCTGGAGGAATTAAGCACTATGCTCAATGACCTCAATAGTGCCTCCCAACGGATAGGTCTTAAGATGAACATAGACAAAACAAAGATCATGTTTAGTGTCCATGTCACACCTATGTCGGTAGTTGTTAGGAGCGCTATGCTCGAAGTTGTTGACGAGTACGTTTACCAGGGACAAATAGTCCGACTAGGTAAGTCCAACTTCGACCGAGAGGTCAATCAACGGATTCAACTCGGCTGGGCAGCGTTCGGGAAATAACGACATATCTTCTCGTCAGATATACCTCAATCTCTAAAAACTAGATTGTACAACCAGTGCGTGTTGCCGGTGATGACTTAAGGATCTGAGACGTGGTCCTTCACTGCTGGCCGTATGAGGACGCTCAAGGTCGCTCAGCAAGCTATGGAGAGGGCTATGCTCGGAGTTTCTCTTCGTGATAGACTCAGAAATGAGGATATCCGCAGTAAAACCAGAGTGACCGACATAGCCCAACGGATTAGTAAGCTGAAGTGGCAATGGGCCGGCCATATAGCTCGAAGAACCGATAACCAATGGGGAAGAAAGGTTCTCGAGTGGCAGTCTCGTACCGGTAGGCGTAGTGTAGGGCGACCCCCCACTAGATGGAGTGACGACCTGGTAATATATGCAGGAAGTCGAGGGACGCAGGTGGCTCAGGACCGTGCTTTGCGGCATTACTTGGGGGAGGCATATGTTCAGCAGTGGACTTGTGAAGGGCTGTAATGATGATGATGATGATGTGTGGATGTGCAAGTGGCTTAGCATCTGATCGGAAAAATAGACTGAAAATGACTTTTATTGAGCGAACTTAGTGATCGCAGCACCTCACTTATGATGTCCATATTTCTGGGACACTATTATCTGCGGCGATCGTTCTCCTGTTCTCTAATCTTCATGGCGTAGACAGAGAATCCTATTCTCTGTCTACGCTTCATGGCCTATAGTCAACCAAATCTAAGAAATACTCGTAAACAGAGAAACCTGTTTCTCTGTCTACGGAAGGGCTAGAAAAGGTTTCTCTGTCTTCGGAAATACTGTTGTTTTTATTATTCGCTCGAGGGAGCAGGCAAAGGAACTAAGCCATACAGCCTTGTCTTTTTTAATTTGAATATATACAATTTTGAAGTGTAAAGACCGGAACCAAGCCTTATTTTTCTTCTTTCCATCTCTTCAAAATCCATAAAGGCCGAAGCCAAGTCTTATTTTCTTTAATTCTTCATATTTTCGAAAACCATATAGGCTAAAGCCAAGTCTTCATTATATTATAATCTATAAGTTTCAATCCATATAGTTTTATCAGTCCAATATTTACAAAAATAGGAATGCCATATTTCATATTTCTTTTACAGTATTATGAATAAAATTGCAAAGTGCTAAATATGTCTTAGTATTCCTAAGAACATCTTGCAGGGTGCGCGGGACGCTTTCTGAGTTTTCATAAATTTGTATAAGTTTTTCAATGAGTAGCAATCTTAATATGGCGTACGCTGGGCAGTTAAATATTATATGTTCTGCAGTCTGATTTGCTTATGTATCACAGAGGTTGCATATTGCAGATGTTACTATTCTCATCCTGGAAAGATGAGCCTTGTCGATAGTGGCCAAATCTAAGTCTGCACATTATTGTTAAAATTTTCTAATATGGTATCTCTCGTTGCGAGAAAACCAAGGAATACTTAATTCTGAATTAATTGATGTATACCAACGACCTTTTCCTGCCTCTAAAACAGCATTCCATTGCATTTTCCATTTTTCTTTTATCTGTTGCTTTAAAATTGAATATAAATCTGTATGTGGTATTGCCACACCGGTTATCCTGTCAATATCAGCTGTGACCAACGACCGCACAGTCCGAATAGACGCCTAATGTATGTATTTCTATATCCAAACCTGTCTGTCAAAAGTCTGAGGTAAGCGGTACGGGGAAGGCGGTTTGAAATGCACACTAATTGGTTAAAATCAAGGTTGCGACACTTACTAATAAACAAATAGTGTTGGGAATTTTAACTAGTAAATTTGGTACGAAGTCCACTTAATCAGTACCAGAATTTTAATCTACTATAAATTAGTACAAAATAAAAAACGAAAGAAGTTTTATTTAAGTAGGTATTGTATTTAGTAAAATACCTATTATTTTTTGTTTTAAAGAATATTTTTTGTTTTAAAGAATATTTTTTATTAAAACAAGCTTTTTTTACAATATTGAAATAATAATAGAATACTATTAAAAATAAAATAGCAATAGTCATTTAAACTGTCAAGTTCATTTCCGTTTCCTACTTGTCTTGACATGGCGTCTTAGCAGTAAAGAGAGCGGAGTACCGTCTATTAAAAATTATATCAATTTTATTATGAATTATTTTTAAGAAGTTTTGATTAATTTGATTTAATTATTAAATCAATTAATTCAAATATGGGTTAACGTACATTCACTAAAAAAATTCAGCTTACACCTATGTCACTTATAGTACCTATATGTGTAAAACATTCACGTTAACATGCATAATATTTACTTGTACCAATATTACAGTTTAACTAGTACAGCACTATATACACGTGCCGGTAATTAAAGAAAAGTATAGCAACAATGAACTGCATTGAAAAGAAAGGGATGCATAGTCCGAAAATATCCGATGTCCGAATAAATCAACGCGAGTTGCTTATGACAAATGTAGGTTGATCTCTGATTTAATTTCAATTAAGGAGTTTCCAAATTAAAATTCACTTGTCTATGAAAAGTGATGTCATTTTTATTCAAATTACAAATTTGGCTACTATTTCCGTACTATTTTATTGTACAGGGAACCATGTTGCGCGTCTGTTGTATTTTATTTCGTCGAAAATTCACGAGTCACATGCAAGATGTTCACGGGTCAGGGAAGTGGTCGCCTTCATTCAGTTTATACAAAGGTATAATTGCCGAAATAAGTCGTGAGCACACTTTTTATTGGTCGATACGACGTTGAACACGCTGACGTTCAACGTGATTGGTTCATCAGTCGATTCTCGTCTTCTATTGGTTTCGAACGTATCATTCGGCTTCCGTACACTTCAGAGCAATAATTTCAGTGATAACTTTTTAATTAGTTTATTTTCGTTAATTGTTTTTGGTACCTCGTTGTTAATTGTTGTTTGTGTGTTCCTTGTTATTAATTGTTTTTGTTATTTCTTGTTTTTAATTATTTTTGTTGTTATAATTTGAGTGTTCAGATTGTGGTCTAAATACGCATAGAAGGAAGAATTCGGTGTTAAATAGACAATCCCGAAAAATGGTCTATTCAGTGTTTAGTTACATGAAAAAATTAGGTACTGCGAAAAACATCATAGACGTATGACAGACTGCTGAGGCGACTAATGTCTCAGTAGCTACTGTACGGTGCACCGCAACACAAGATTTTATGAAAGGCATATCACCTCTTCCTTCTTCTTAATAAAATTATCAATTCTAACCACCAGGTATACATTAAATACTTTATAGTAAATAATAAAATAACGGACACGAATATCTGCAACATTACTGTATCAAAGTAAAAGTTGATGTGTTCGAGTAAACATTTTCATAAAAGTCGGCGAAAATATTCAATTACGCATTGAAATAATAAAGGTACCCAATATTTTGCCCGACAGTGTACCTACCTCCCACCACAGTTTATCCGTGCTCACGACTCATGTCGGCAACTATACTCTGTGGTGGTCGCTACTAAAGTGGTTCGCGCGATCGTTTTCTTGAGTACCTAAGACGTATTTGTCTGATGTGTTGACAGAAAGTGTTCGCCTTTCAATGCGTAGTATCGTCTTAGTAGCACAGAACACTATTACTCCTAAGTAGTCTATAGCCTTTGATGAGGCGTCTATTCGGGCTGTAGCTATACTAGGGATATCGGAAATGCAATAAAGTATCGATACATATCGATATCGATATTTTTGTAAATATCAATATCGATTTCGATATTTTTATTTAAAAATCATCTTAGGTACATTACTAGATAAATACTAATCAATAGAAAACATTTTTAATAAATCAAGAACAACGATAAAAAATATTAATTATTTATTAACTAAACCAATATCTATCTGATACAGACATTAGAAAAACTCTTTGATTTATGTGCTCGGCTGTAAGCCAACTTCTGTTATTGGGTACCGTAAAACCCGCCAACTTTGGCTTTTAATTCTAACATTGGCCACTTGACAAAAATAACAAAAATTTGCTGTATAAAAAATATATCTCATATGGCAACATTTTACAACATATTGTGGAAAATAGAATATATTTCTGGCAATACCAATCATACGTCCGGTTACTAAGTTCACTCAGTTGGCTGTCAACAGTTGTCAAATAGGAGTCTCTGTCAGTGGTCCCAAATTGTTCCTCGAGTATAAAGCTTTTTCGCGCTTGAAAAATGATCCAAGTGAGTGGAATTTTTGATATGTTATTAAGTGAAATCTTGGTTTTTATATGGTGTACATCTCAAATCAATATGAGTCCTCTATTAATCAGTAGTTCAAATGGCCAATGTTACAATCACTTGTAGCAAACATGTGCTGTTAACTTTGGCCACAGAAAAATAATACTAGGGCTGCCCACTGATAATTTTAGAATTCGGTACCTACCTACTCATGAGTTGATGGTACTTTTTGCTTATAACTTAGTTTTACAATTAATTTTGGTATAATACCTAGAATACAGTTTAAAATATGTATATTTGCTTATTATTTATGTCCATATATATTTACAGAATGGATACATCTAAGCCAAAATCAAGAAAAAAAGCAAGAAAAAGTCGCAGGCGCCTTGGTGCCCGGCAATATAAAAATTATTCAAATGAAATGCTTGAAATAGCTGTAGATCTTGTTAGATTTCTAAACAATTCGCGATTCCTAAACAGACAATATTAAATAAAGTAAACAAGTCTCATACAAAGTCTGTCGGATGTCCAACGCGATTATCTGATGACGAAGAAGCCAAATTTATTAGTTTTAATTGCTGCTGGGGAATTCGGATGCCCACTTTAACACAACTATTATGGATTGCGCAAAGTCTTTACCCGGTAAAAAGGTCATTATATGCGATAATTTATCAAGCCACTTAAATGTGAGTGTTATCGAATTATGTGAGTGTCACAATATTCAGTTTGTTTTCATTCCATCTAGCTCGATACACATAGCACAACCCCTTGACGTCGCTTTTTTTGCACCACTTTGACACAAAAAATGTGGCGAGCAATATTACTCAAGTACAAAATGGAAAATCCCAACCAAACTACTCTGAATAAGAATCATTTCCCAAAACTTTTACATTCTTTAGTTGTTCAAGTTGAAATATATTCATCTAAAAATATCAAAAGCGGATTCAGAGCAACGGGGATCTACCCATTCAACCCAAGAGAAGTACTGAAGCGTGTACCAGAGTATCAAGAAGATGTGGCATCATATGGGATTGACAATGCATTGCTAGACTACTTAAAGCATAGCAGAGAGAAGACTAGCAGTAAAAAAAGGAAGAAAAAACGTTGTTTGAGAAAAACTGTCAAAAAGGAAAGCGTAGTAAACTATTTGATATTATGTCTTGTGTTATCACAAAAAGTATATTGCTGTATTTCTTTGGTATTTACTAGAATGTGTCATTTACACGCTCATTTCCTAAAGTTGCTAAAGTATGTTTTTCATTTATTATTTTTTGTTTTCAGTAGGTACCTAGGTTCTAAATAAACACTTTAAGCTTGGTACCTATTGTTATATATATTTTTATTTATAAATTTGAGTTTTCTCTTTCACCTCAACGTGATGATTAAGTAGTCTTGAGATTACTAAATTGAAAAATGAATCTTTTTTTTAAGAATTTTGATCTCACAAATACGTGATAGTAATTTAAGTACTTACTCATAACCATTTAATACTTGATATAATTTGATAGTCTATGTTGTTGTCTACTTGCTTAGTAAAAGTGCCATATTTTATATGCTAATATTGTACCAAATAAATCTCATATAATAAAATGCGATTGATTAAAAACATGTTTTTTTTTTTTTGTAAAACACCCAACCAATATATAATAATTTAAAAAATTGACAACCCTGAGTCTAAAACTGTTTCGTATGGAAATTTAAAAAAAGTTTCGGGTATCTTTGGCCACCTGGCTGTAAGCCAAAATATTTAACATTTTGTTATTATTGCCTTTTATACATCTTCTTTGGCCAGTTTCCTGTCATAGTTCTTAAAGTAAACGGCATTGAGACTATAATTCAAGAGTTATAAGCAGTGGCTAATGTTGACAGAAAGCTGATGTAATTTTGGCCGACTAAAAAAATATATTTTTAGGCAAGAAACTGTCCTAATTTTCGCAATTTCCGTGATTTAACATCAACAGTTGAGGTTCCTGGTGTTAAACAAATATGAAAAATTAATACTTTACTAACAGTTTTTTGGATTTAAAGTTGATTAAGTGCAAAATGTGGCCAATGTTGGCAGGTTTTACGGTACTGCGAGATTTACAGCAGATGCCACTCTCTCCGAGGAAACCGACGACGCAGGCGATATCAAATACTTTACAGCTATATCGGAAAGAACTGGGGTAAAATGGCGACAATCAAACCAAAACTTCTCTTCTAGGTATTATAGGCTGATCTAGGTATTGCTCTAGTTCGCTAGGCATTCCATCACTGGTTGAAAGTGAACTGGAGTTTGTTGAAGCTGCAGCAATATCTACCAAAATTTTTTCATGTCCGGACCACAACGACGGCGAAGAATTTTCTGAGTTTGGTATTGTGGTAGTAGATCTGCATCTGAGTTCAGGCGATAATTGTCCTCTACGTCTATGTTCTAAACGTATTTCTTTTGACAATGCACTTATTGCAGTGGAAACAGCCAGAGCGGAATTAAAATGAATACGCTTAAAGCGAGGGTCTAAAATTGTTGCTTTAGCAAGATGTAAATGTCGCTCTAGTGGTTCTAGTTTGGCAATAACTAAGTTTATTAAACTCTTCCGAACAGCAACACCAAATTCGGTGGAAGGTTTCATTTGTTCAAGTCCTTTCTGAAGTAAGTTTGCAATAGGAATCGCTAAACTAGAAGTCACGTACTGATCGCCGCTAATTTCTTCAGTAGCTTGCTTAAATGGGGTAAGCAACATTATAAAATCTCGTATAACTCTGAAGAAGTTATCATATCAGGTGCATTCCGCTTGGTTGCCAAAATTTTAGCCACAATAGCTGATAATGTATTAAATCTTTCCAACATGTCAAGACAAGAATTCCACCTTGTGCTTACTGATTGTATAAGTGTTAACACTTCTCCCTCTTTCTTTGGTCCCTCTTGCTCTGCTCGTAAATCGTCCATTGCGTTTACAGATTGTTTAAAATATGTTACGATGGCTTTGACACGATTGGCAATTTGTAGAATCATAGGTCCATTATCTCTTGTTGCCCCATCCACTATTAAATTCAGCAAATGCGCCATGCAAGGAATTCTTTTTCCATCTCCCAAATATTGTTTCACTGCAGCAACCATGTTAGCACCACCGTCAGTGGTGATTGATAAAATGCAATCCTTTTACATACCTTAGGCATACCTTGATGCCACAAAGCCAGCAAGTCCTGAGCCACCTGCAGCCACCGACTTCCTGCATGGCTTACCAGGTCGTCACTCCATCTAGTGGGGGGTCGCCCTACACTTTGCCTACCAGTACGAATATAAATGTGGTATATATCTCCACAAACTCCATCTTTATCATTAATCAGATTATCTGCAATTCTCTCGTGTGGCGGAAAAGTTTAGTCATTTTTTGGGGTATTTTTTTAGATTGCTTGTCCCAGAGCTCAATTTAAAGAACATAATAAAATACAAAACAAATTTCTAATTATTTATTCAATTAAAATACATAACTTAAAAAAGAACTGTACAAAACTGTTTATCAAATAATTTAGTTTGTTACTGCCATCTTCATAATGTGTTTTAAGTGATAAGAAATTTTTCTTCCACATGTACTACTAATTATATATTTATATATGAGCAAGAAATATGAAAGCATGTACCATTTTTCTCTCAAAATTTTACAGCTTAAGCTTACCATAGCTTAGGCTTATTCCAATAATCTGTGTTTCCTTGGAGATATACAGGGTAATTTTGAGATAACCGGTCAAATTTGCAGAGAAGGTTCAAGATAACTAATATAGGCTAACGTTGAAGAAAAATCCATTTTAAAAAATCCTTAAACTTTGTGTCCTTTTTATCTCATAAGTTCAAAATGCGCAGTAATGTATTGTATTAAGTGAATTTACTGCACACACAAACATTCGTAAGAGTAATAATAATAACATAACATATTGTATCAAAGGGTCACTATCTCTTTGTTATGAAATGCAAAATATAGTTGTTGCTCATTTGCACCCAAGATAGAGAGAACTTGTAAATTTACTACGTCCATGTTGCAATATATTCATCCCAGCCTGAGAGCCTGCAAGTTATACCAGCTATAACTGATTCAAGACCTTAAATCAAAAATTAAATATCTTTTACAACCGTTGAGCTTTTATAACCAACTTTAATTTCAACTGTTGAAATAAAATGAAACATCATACAAATTAGTACAGTAAGTTGATTTGCAGTTAAAAATGCATTGGAGAAATAGTGGGCAATGGGCTGTTTCAGTCTTCCTAGTACTAACAATCATAAATACTAATGCATATGATGCAATGACTGGAGATCTTCCTTGTGTACTATGATCCTAATACACTTCAATCAAATCTTCTTTTTGATTTATACATCACATTTTTTTAAAGACATTTCATCAAATATCAGTATAAATTGATTGTCTGATGGTTTTATAATATTTAAAGAATCTGCCAGGCCTTAAAAACTGGATGATTGATTCCAACAGCAAAGAGTACTCAATTAAGCCTATAATAGAGCCTAAGTAGCCCGTAACAGGTGGGTGACATTTTATAAAGCCACAAGGCTATATTTTTGATGTGATCCAGCAGATGGTGAATCTCAATTAATGACAAGATATGCTGATAAGTCCAGAGCCGTGACTATGTGTCGATATGGGTAGTAAAGGCGGTGAATGGCATTTTTAAAACTTAATTTAAAATATTTCGCCAAAATTACTTTAACAGGGCTTCTACACATTTGATAATAGAGTGGCTGCTGCTCTAATTAATAAATTCCACACAAAAATAAGGGACAGGGATGATGCGGCTTAAATACTTGAAATAGTTCACCAAAAAATATGGAGACAAATGATAATTCGTCTGAGTATGCTTGGGAAAGCAATCTAAATAAAGCTAGGGCAGACTTTAGAAATATAAATGTATACTAAAAATGTTAGGGAATTTCCTGTTTTAAGGACTTAATATTAATTGCTTGTGGCACATACCAATTAAAGTAAGCTCACTCCTATTATGGTGAGCATATAAGATTTAATGGTTGCTCCGGATAGAACTCTGTAATAACCACAGGAGCAGCATTTTGGAAGGAATAAACTTTAGCCCTAGCTGATCTTTACTTAGTGTCGTAAAGTGTATTTTATATATATTTTAATTAGTGGCAATGGTTCTGGCAGAAGTGCATTTAAAAAGTATTGTTGCAATTGTATTGTCGGCCGTCGAACAGTATAATGCTGTGCCCATGTTATGACATTAATATTGTATTTGGGTTGAGCACGGCATCAAACTAATATTTTGCCTCCTGGTCAGTTCCTGGATGATGTATTGATGTATAAATAAGAGGCAAAAAATTCCTTAGCTTTTCTAGATGTGTTAGTCATCCAAAATCTTAACAACACCATAGGTCACACTGTATAGACAAACAATGTATCTCACCATCATCCTTCACAAGTTAGCTACCGTTAGCAAATCTTTGTTACAGAGAGCACAAGTGATCTATGACAGCAAACATCTGGCTGTCGAGCTTCAGCACGTCAAGCAGGTTCTGCACGTCAACAAGCTTCGGGTCCCGCGCCTACGTCACAGTGACCAAGTAAAGCCGGCCACAGTCAAGCGTGTGCATTCCTACTATATGTCAGGGGTGTCACAGACTAGATCGGCTACATCTTGAAGCGAGCTTCTATTAGAACATTCTACAAGCCTCTGAAGAAGATTAGTGAGTTCTTACCATCAATCAAGTGTCATATTCTTCTAAAAGGTGCAGGAGTGTACACCCTTGATTGTGAATGTGGTCTCATATATAGGGCAAACGAAAAGAACAATTAAAACCCGCGTAAAAGAACATATAGCTGTCGTGAAGCATTAAAGTTCAGGGAAGTTTGCAGTTTGTGATCATGTCCTAGACGGCCCCACACAGATAGACATAAATCAGATTTGATAGACCACAAATCCTCTCGAAGGAACATCAATTCCTATCAAGGGTGATACGTGAGACTATAATAAAAACAATCCTTATTTAAATAGAGAAGGAGGCTTGGTACTACCACCTGCTTGGGACCCTTTAACTAATAAAATTAAAACTATGTCCAAGCATACCTCTGCAAGATTTCAAGACACAGTAAGTTCATTCTGTAGATCCGACCATAAATAAAAATTAAAAATCTGAAGGTATTCCAGGTTAACACTGACATTGGGATGTCAGTCACCTCAGTCCGCCGTGACCATGGGTGCTGGGAAGCACCCGAAACGTCTGGAATTAAAAATCAAAGAAATAAAACGCGATAAAATTGATTAAAGTAGTTGTAAAAAAAACTGTATTTGTGAAAATAAAAACTTATATATCTTTAAAATCCCGACTTTTTTTAAAGCAATTCCTTTACCATTTCGTTCTTTTAATTGCATATTATCATATCTATATACTTTTATATGTGGGCACTCATGGCCGAAATGTCTATGAAGAGTGGGCAATCCCCTTTCAGGTATTTAAACCTAAGTAAGATTACTCTTCTTGTAAGACATTCAGCCTGTAAAGAAACAATAGGAGTTGTTCTCATGGAGCCGGTAATAAGTCTTAAATTCTTATTTTGTATAATGTCTAATTTGTTTACTAGTTTTTTATTTGATGCAAAACAAAGGAAGCCATACTCAAAATGGATCCTCACCAAAGACTTATATAACATTGATAACATTTCTGGATCAGCTCCCCAGTTAGTACTAGCCAAAGCTTTTAATACATTAAAGGCCTTAGAAGTTCTGTCTGAAATATAATTCACGTATTTGGTCTAAGATAAATTATTTGTAAAAATTACGCCTAAGAATTTTGCACAACTTTCTATTGGTGAAAATGTATTATCATAAATTATTCTAGTGTTAAATGGACGAATTTTATTAAATAACTTTACTTTTCTCAGTACTAATATCTAAATTTAAGTGTGAAAAGTAAATGTACAATTTCTTTAAAGCCTCATTTAAAATGGTTACCAAGTTTTTAACATTTGTTCCCAAGGCATATATGACCAAATCATCTGCATATTGTAAATTAGTAACATTTGATCCTAAAATATTGTTTAATTTAAATATGTATAAAATAAAGACAAGAGGACTTAATATTCCTCCTTGACAAACACCTTTATAACTGAGCCTAGAACCAATAATTGTATTATTATTATTAACTTTAGCAAAAACTCTTCTCAGAACCTTCGATCACTTTGCGAGTACCTAGATTAACATTATTTCACCAACAATGTTAAGGATACACTAATTAATTCTTCATTATTTTCCATAGCTTTAAAGATGTCTAAATGAAGAAATGCAATACTTTCTTTAGATGACTTGCGGCTTCTGAATCCAAACTGATTTGATGGTAAAAGACAATTTTTTTCTAGATAAAATTCTAATCTGGATTTTATAAGTTGCTCAAATATTTCTCCCATACAAGATGTAAGTGCTATAGGTCTGTAAGATTCTGCAATGTGAGGTTTTTTTCCAGGCTTTAAAATGGGTATCAAACAATCTTCTTTCCAATCATTAGGAATAAGTGTATGACACCATAACATATTATATATTTTCAAAACTAGTTCTCTACATGCAGTATTCATATTTTTTAAAACTGCTGGAACTGTGGTTTTTAGAACTGCTGGAATCATAAAAAACTATATGGGATAAAAACCATAACTGATCATCTTCTACGAAGACGAACTTTCTTTTTGAGACAACACAATACCTATGTTCACAATTAATTATAAATTAGTCAAAATTATTATATTAATATAAATTTTAGTTTAAGGAATTAATGAACATTGACATTTTATTTCTAAAAGCAATTAGTAACTCATAGTGATTATTTATTTATTGAAATGTAAAATAATGTATTAAATTAAATGGTAATATTTGCATAATAGCCTGAGATTTGTAAATTATAATTTTATTGTAATTAAAGTTATGAATTAATTTATACCTACTGTGGTGTAATTATTATTATTATTATTTGAATAATAGCTTAACTAATCTCATATAATATTTAAAATTATTTATGTAACAATAATGTAATAATTCAATTAATAATTTATGAACAATTTATTGTATAAGAATTCAAATAGAGTGGCTCTGTATAAGTATTTAATA